TCATCGCTTATCCAGTGAAAACATAGATTATCCTTTGATAATATTGACAATAAGAAAATACTTTATACAAAATGATAATAATCTTCCTAAGGAATCCAAATATCTTATTGGTGAAGATCAATTTAATCAATTCAAACTTAATTTATGTAAACTCTAATGGGCCACAATCGAGTTCAATGATTAACCATGAAAGGAACACGTTGAAACACCAAGAAATTGTAATTAATTTAATGTTTGTTTTTCTGGTTCAAATGTAATCAATTTCTAAGAAAAACTTTTACCCGAAGATTGGACACTTAATTTATTGATAAAATACAATCAATTGCTGTTTAATTAAAGAGCTTGAGATTATTTATTGCAGTGTTATTTTCTCAAATAAATTATCACTTATTATAAATTATCTTGATTACTTTACATCCCATTCATTTGATTGTGTAAATCACATCAAATGACCAATCAAACTTTTCAATCACTTTAATCCTAACCTTTGCTATTGATAATCTTTTCATCTTTCTTACTTAATCATCCAACAATTTCAAATTAAAACAAATATTAACACAAGATAATAACAAGTAATATTAAGAAAGATCAAACAAGAAAATATTCATTTAGTGACCCCCCTTACGAGGTTAATGCTTCAAACATTACATTGGACATAATCCAATCGCCCGAAGGCACTGGGCTACACGCTCAGTTTACAAGTTTGGTCTCAAGTATTAAAATAATTTCATGAATTTTATCAATCTTTTCCTTGATTTCTTTTCCTTCAGACAGGTTCCAATCGTTCATATGGAGATGTTGGGTGGATTTACATGTGTTCAGGTAGTGGGATTCAGGACGTTTTTTGTTCTTTTTTTGATCAATGTCTCTTATTAACATCATGAGTGTGGAATACATTTTTACTATTTTTCCCACAGTGTACCCGTGATAGAGATTGTACACCTTCTCAATTCTCTGTGGAAATAGAGTGTGAAAGAGGGAAGGTTTTCTGACAGCCATCGTCATTTTTTCTGTTTTTTCTACGATCTCCTCCTCGATGTCCTTTGGTGTGGTTATCATGTTTTTTATCTTTATTTTCTTGATTGGCTGATCTGTTACTTTGTTTCCGATAGTTTCACCCGTCCAAGTGTAGGCCTTTTTGTGTGAACTGACAATCTTTATGATGGCTAGTGTCGTGGCAGCTTTTTGGTATTTCATTACGTTCACAGGTAACTTGTAGTTAACATTGTCTTCTTTGTGCTTATTTACAAGTAAGTGCGTTGCTAGAATATGATTTTTGTGCTCGATGTTTTCAGTTTCATATATTACCAGTTCATCATCAAGAGTTATCTGATTACCATCAATTGTATAGAAGACGTTTGGTAGTGATGAATATTCAACTTTCTTTTTCCAGAAACTCTCTGTTTCAACCTTTGATGGTTCTTTAAAGGTAATTTGTTTTTTCATCTCTTTGAGGATAGGCCATTTGTTGTAGTCGTTTGATGATCGTTTAATCGCCTTTATATTTGCTTGTAGCCAAACAGATAAGGGATTTCCAATATTATATAAGATTATTGGAGCCCAAGATGACGTATACTTATCCAAGTTTAACGCGTTCCTTAAATGATGATTAACTTCATTCTGAAGATTAGCTATTAAATTCAGGTAATTGTGATTTCGAAACAGTGCATGTGGGCCAAAGTGATACATACATGAACTGTAATGAGCATTAATCGTCATCCTCTGATAATGAGTCGGTAATTTTTTGATTATTTGAAGTTGATGTTTGATTGATGGATTGTGTTCTTTAATCATGATGCCGAGATTTTGAGGGTGGAGTGAGTAGGCAACGTACTTTCCAATTACTTTAACCATTGATGCTTCAGGATGTGATATGATTTTCGTTTTGTTAGGATTGATTGAGAGATTGATTTTATCGAGTTCTTCTCTAACCACTATCAGATGCTCATCTTTCTTCTCCTTGGTTGACAGTATTATTAAATCATCAGCGAATGATATTATCCTTATTCCTCTTTCCTGTATTTTGCCTATTGCTTGATTCAGCCCAATTATAAAGAGGATTGGTCCAAGGGAGGAACCCGCTGCTGTACCTTTATCATCGCTTTTATAATAAATTTTCCTCCCCAGTTTGAAGCGAAGTATTCTGTTGGTGTGAAAGGATTTAATCATCGATAAGGTACCATCGTCTACATGGTTTTTTAGCTCAGTATAAACTGCTTCAAGGTTGATGTTTTCAAAGGCTTTGGTGGCGTCGATTGATATTCCAATTTGAGCATCTCCAATATGCTCTCTCAGAATAACATGAAAATCGCCACCATTTAGATGAGAGTGATAAGCGAATTGAGTTTTTTCATGTAGAATTTGTTGTAGAATTTTTTGGAGTCTTTTTGTTAAAATTTTGTCAAAGATTTTTAAGATGAAATTTGATATTTTAATCAGTCTCAGAGAACCATCAGGTTTGGGTATAAAATGTGCACCGAAAACTTTGATGTGTTTAGGAACCAAACCAATTTCGAATGCTCTTTTTATTTCCGCGATAATTATTACTTTATTTGTTTTCCACAGGCTATTCCAGGTCTTAAGCGTGAAATCATCGGCATTTCCTGATTCCTTATTGAACTTTAGGTTCTGCATCATCATTTCTTCCATCGAATTTACACTTGACTCGGTTCCAACTTCCTGGATTGATGTCGGTCTTCTCTTATCAAACCCTACAATATCGTATTTCTTATTATTGTCCTCAAGTTTCCTAAATAGCTCCTGTTTGGATTTTAGAAACGAATTTAAGATTTTCCACATTAATTCTGAATTTTTTCTAATCTTGAATAGATACTTCATGATTCCCTTCTTTCTGTTGATTCTTAACTGTAAGCACCTATCTTCTAAATTTCTAATCTCTTCATTATTATTGTTCTCTCTTCTCTTCCTTCTTATTAAGTTTCTTATTCTTCTAATTCTTCTATTATTGGAGTGTTTTTGTACTGAAATTAGCCTACCGAACTTCCTTGGTATCTCTATTAGATTCTTGAAGGTGAGCTGAACATTCTGATCTAAAATTTTCATTATGTCGAAGTTTTCAATTCTCCTAATTCTAACGTGTTGTTCACTTTTTACTATTTTTCCTCTAGTTCTAATTACAATTTCAAATTGTCTATGATCTGTCACAATTGGGCACTCATTTAACACGTAGTTTTCTATGTTGGTGAAGACGACATCAATCCAGGTTTTCTTCTCATTTGCTTGATACGTGAAATTATCGGCTCTCGGTTTGTTGATGACTTCAATGTTGTTGTTGCTGATGAATTGAGCGAGGATTCTACTGCACTCAGGTCTTGTGGTTCTCATTGACCATAATGTGTCTTCCACATTCGCATCCATAACTCCGATGAACGGGATTTTAACGAGCTTATTCGCCATATCCACGAATTTACACATATTACCTCTCAAATCGTCATGGGCAATGTAAGCTCCAATCACAACAATCTGAGCTTGTTGATACTCGATGAGAGCGATGATACAATTTCTTAAGGTTGTATCATAGGCAATTATTTTCAGACTCTTAGATGTTATGATGATTGTTTGATCGTTTAGGATGATTTTGTCTCTCAGATAACTCAGAGCAACTTGTCGATTAGCTTCCACCAGCACAAGTATTTTTCCCGTTGATTTTAGAGTCTCATCAATGAGATTTCGAGTAACTTCCTTACTCTTTCTAGCATTGAGATAAGTCATATGAATCTTTTTCAGCGAGGATCCAATCATATTTGATGTTATGGTTACGAGAGGCCTTTATGATCAGCTTACGAATATGATGACACTCAATTGATAAGGCTGAGTGATTTCCAGCGCAATGAAAGCACCTCCTGAGATTTTTTTCACTTTTTGCGAGGCACTGGTGATGATGAACTTCTGAGCAGTAAATACACTTCGCTGGTCGATTGCAATTTTGTGTGAATTGATGTTCTAAACAGGCACAAATGTCAACTCTAAGGTAATCGAAGATTCGATACGTTGAGCCCATACAGGCGATGTGACCGTCGTTATCGAGTAGCTTGTTGCGGTTGAATTCACTTATGTTGACTCTTATTCGTTTTCTATCAGGAAAGGAAGTTACTTCACTGACACAGGTTTCACGATCTCTTCTAAAGTTGTTCGAGATTATCAGATTGTTTGTTAAGTAGCTGAAAGAGTTGACAATTTCTCTTTTCACGTTGAAGTAAATTGACGATTTAGAAGCACTGAAACAGAAGATTCCAACCTCAGGGAAGATTTCACTTATAACTTCACAAAGTTCGTTCCTGTCTTCTTCAGAATTAGTACCAATTTCCAATCTACCGTTTCTTTTCAACTTGAAATAGGTAAGTTTGTTTGATGAATCAATGATCGACTCACTCACCAAGGCGATTAAGTGACTGATTTGTGATCGGTCTTCCAACACAATTTGAATCGAAAACTTTTTATCAATTTTTGGAACACTTTTTATCCAACCAAGACGAGCAGCTTGCAGTTCTCTATAAACTCTTGTGATTTCCATTTCATTTGTTCACAGAAAAGGAATTACAACTTGTATCATAGAGTTCGATCTCATGAATGATTCATTGAGTATCTCCTCTGTGAGTAGTTTGTCTTAACCCTCGGTGGGAAAATCGCGAATGTCCGTCGTTACTCAGGGTTTGACCATAGAGCTTAATTAATTTATCTCTCAGATTAATACTAATACTTTAAGCTTTTATTTCTATATTTCTGCTGTTTTCAAGTGATTAGTGGGCTTACTGATTGAAAAGATAAACAAACCTTAATTGACCTTCCATTAGTGCTAATTTATTTTAGAATCATAAGTCGAGTCTAATTGATCTTGTTTTTCATTTTAACAGAGACAATTGTTATTAATTGAGAATCCTCATCATGTAAATGTTAAAGAATCATAGTTAATAATTATCACTTGAGTGTTAGTAGTTGTTAATTGAATTTTAATTGTAGTTAAATTGTTTTTGGGTTAATTCGTTTAATTAGCAAGTTTGGGTTAATTCGTTTAATTAGCAAGTTTGGTTAATTGTTTGATTTTAATTTGGTTAAAGGATTTTTTCACACTTGTTTAATTATCGTAGTTAACTTGTTTTCGTATTAATTATTTTTAATTAGCAAATTTTGTTAATTGTTTGATTTTAAATTTTCTTTGTTTTTTTGTTGTTCAATTTTTTATTTACCTTTTCAAGCCATGATGTACTTGTACTGGTAGTTCTTTTTCTCCATCTCATGCTGAAGACGATCCATGAAAATCAGGCACTTTGTTTCAAGGGCATTCTCACCAAGTCGATGACAGTTGGGGCATTTCCATTTATGAGGTATTTCCTTAACTGGACAGGATTCATGAAAATGGTTAGTTCCGCCACAGTAGGGGCAAAGGCTCATTTGAGTGCATTTGTTGGCTAAGTGACCATATCTCATGCAGTTTCGACATTGCTTTATATCGAAGTGATCGACCACAGTCACTCGTTTATAACCTGCGGCAATGCAGCCACTGTTTTGTTCCATCCACTCCCTGAGTGCGGGGTCAACCTCAACGATAACATCATAATTGTTGGCAGTTTTGTAAAAGTGTTTAACACACATCTTCCAACATTTTTTCCAACGATTCTTAACATATAATCTATCCATCCATAGATTAATTTGATCAGGATCGAATTTAACGCCAATGAGTTTCACTTGTGGATCTTGGATCGGTGGAATTGATACTTCCCACTGTGGTTTATTCCTTTTGATGAAGTTGAATATTTTTATTCTATCCGACGTATTGGTACACTTAATCTTCGCTGAGTCGAAGCCCGAGGTCACCTCCTCAGCTGAACCAGAATCTTCTGTAGTTTCCTCGAGTAACTTTTCCACCGCCTCAGCTGTAATCTGTCCAATCTTCTTGTTCAGTTCATTTTTTACTCCAGGTATTCTCACTATTATCGTGTGGAGAATCTTGAGATGTGATACATTATACCATGTCTTTGGCATTTCCGGTCGACGTTCAACTTGTATTGACAAAAGATTCTTTATTTGATTGTTGGTGAAACTTTGTATTTCAATTTGGCCCTCAGTGTTTTGTTCCTCTTGATTTCCTTGGTTGTGAATAAGCATCAGTCGTTCAAAGAATTTAGCCAGCTCATTAATTGTCTCCGTTGGAAAATTTTTTAACCACAGTTCATCCTTCATCATCAATTGGAAGTATTTGATTATTGGAAATGCAGTGAGTTCAGTCAGAATATTATCAATAACCAAGTTTTTATTATTTCTTTCCTCAAAGTAATTCATCAGTATTTTAAATTTACTTTTGCTTGATAATCTCAGGTCTTCTGTAATTGTTAATGTTGCATTTATTAGTGTTTATTTCAATATATTATTTTAAATCAGAGAGTTTTAAATATGAAGGTTTTGAATATTTGTATTTTAAATCAGAGAATTTTAAATCATCACTTGGACAGTATATAGTTTTGAGTTGTACTTACTTAGCCTGCGAAGCTCAGTGGTGTTTCCTGGATTATCCGACATCTTTCAAGTGATGTGAGGTGTCTAACTGAAGCTTAGAGTACGCACAGTTAATTTATAACACAACTTTTAATTTACTATTCAGATTTTACATGAAAATTCACCAAAAACACGGAGCTTAAAAAAACGTGACTTCACCCAACTTTATTCATTAAAAAGTAAACTAATTAACCAATAGATGGCGAACATGTTGTTTCAGCTTCGTAATTAATTTGATGGACTATTTTGCTTTTTTAGAGTCGTAACTTGAACTTGGAAATACCCTTAATTGTAATGGAAATCTCAACATTTTGTGATTAATTAAATCGCGAAACTCTGCGGGAAAAGTTTCTGCCCAATTATTTATTCGAAACTTTTTGTTTTCTTGGTTCACTCAATTGTTGCCTCATGAATTGAATCTAAATCGTTAGATGGCAGCACAATGCGAACAGTTCACTTTCGAAAGGTTCACTTTTTCCCTGCCTGCTCGAAAGGCTATGGACTGGAATCGAGAGAATCGTGTTCACGATCTGGATTTTGGTCCAAACATCGATTTTGAAATGTTCATTCAATTCAAAATATCAAACCAGAGCTTCTGCAAATTGAAAAAAAAGTTCATTTTAACTGATCAAATGTAAAATAAAAAGTTAGCTAATTATCACAAAATAATAATTAATGAGTGAGAAAATTATAACCCAAAGATAATAAAGTTAAAATCAAAATACCGTTAGTGAAATCTTGTAAGCCCACAAGTTTCATGAGGAATTGGGTTTGTAGAGTTAACTTGAATTATGTTAACTTGTTAATTCCGATTAAGTAATTAATCTTTTTCTCCATTACCAGTTTTTCATGCGATAATTAAAGTTAAATGTTATCTCGTTAAGAGCCGTAATTTAATGAAATAGGGCAATGAGCCTCAAAACATCATCAATTGGAACGGTATTTTATCATGATGGAACCACTACAATTTCCAGAATTACTTAATTCTTTTGTTTATCTGCAATCAGATGTGGTGAAAGAGTAAAAATCTTTACAAGAAAAAAAAACAATGAAAATTGCGATAAACTGATTGTTTTTCAATGAAGCAATCAGCTAATTAATCAACCCAGATGACAAGTCTCATCAAATGTAATTAGAAAAAAAATTGAGATTAGAATTGAACTTAATAACATTGGTCACATTTCCGTTTTATGTATTGTAATTGTAGTTAATTGTTAGTAAAATAATTAAATGTTTGAATGAATCGACTTTTGAAATTGCGCAAAATTTTCAATGAGCTGATTAATCAACTTATTAATAATTTCTGATCGAGGGTGTGAACATCAAATTAATAGTTTACTTTAAATAAATCAACAGACGATTGATTAATTACGATTAAAAATACTTCCATAGTAAGTGAGATACTAATTGCATGAGGCCAAAGTAGTTTAATTATCCTTGTAAACCTTATGATATAAATCAAATCAAAGTGATTATGGTGATTGGACAAAATCTCTCGATAATTATTTTCATTTTTAAATGAAGGTTATTATTGGATAAGAGAATCGATTCTCTGTTTACCTTTAAGGCTTTTAATTGTTCCATGTGAATCGACCTTCGACTAATTAAAGTCGTTTATTCATTTCTTCAGTTTATCTCAATCTCTCTTTTCTGTCCTTTCCTGATTGCCCTTTTTGCACCTCCATTGTTACAGGTATTCCCATCACTTCATCATCTTCATCGATTTCATATCAACTGTAGGAAGAGCAAAGTAGAGTATTGGAAGTGAGCGAGGGAGAGAAGTGATGATGAAAAGGAAAAGGAAAGAGCAATAGGATGAGGATGGAAAGTATAACAACCATATTGGGGGAAGGGTCGAATACCCAATTTATTGTTAATGAAAAAGAGGAAGATGAAGATGGAGAGGAAAAGGAAAGAAGAAAGAAAAAGAGAAAGAGAAACATGAAAGTAAATAGAAAGAAAATCTCTCTCTCTCTCTCTTTCTCTCTCGAACCGGTGCTTTTGTTATCTTCATCCTTATTTGCGTCGATATTAACATTTGATTTTGTTTTAATTACTTTTAATTAGCGATTTCCTCAAATAGAAACTAATCAGTGGAGTTGTTATTCTGTTAAATAATTAAAATCTCCCCACCACCCAACCTCCCACTCCTTGTTTTCTTATCATTCGTGTTTCTTGTTATTATTTTTATCTCGAGGCAGAAAAACATGAATATCTGATTGATTCTATTTCTTTCATCGATTATTGCTAATTATTCATCTTCCATATTTCAATCAGTTGATTGTCTTTTCCATTTTCATCTTTAATTTAAAGTTTCTCCTTCAATAAAAGTGATTAAAATTCATGAGGTGAATCCAATTATCTAGTTAATTGACTTTAATTGTGTGAATTATTGGTTAAAGGTGAATAAGTGATAAAGAGACAAACCCTAAGACTAATTGTTGGATAAAAGAAAAGAAAAGAAAAATCAATGAATCAACAATTAAGGAACACGTTCCATCATCAAGAAGATCAATTTTTGCTTCTCATATTTGAACCTTTTTCTTCCTGAATCCTTATTGCCAACAATTTAATAATCATAAAAACGAGTTTCATTCAATGATTAACAATTGATCCGTTATGTGTATTGGAGGCTAATTGGTTAAACTTGATAAATAATCGGGTTTAAGTTCCTAGGTTAATGTTAAATGTTGATAACTAAAAGTTAACCAACAAGATGATTTTAAATGAAACCAGGGATGTGATGATGATGAAAAGGACTTCAAGCCCAAAGGCATCGGTTTCATCCTCATCCTCATCTTCATCATCTCCATTCTCATGCTCTCTATCATCCTCAGTCTCTTCCCCATCTTCATCTCCCTCATCAAGATCATCAATTGATAAACATGAGACTAGATCAGATAGTTGTTTAGTTCAATTGGTTAAACCATCAAATCAACTAAATAAGATAGAACAATTTTCCCGGAAATTATATGAGTTTGATTCAAAGTTAAACGGCTTCAAGCCGAGGAGTGGTCAGTTTCATTTAACTAATTCAACAACAACAACAACAACAACAACTTCAACCCGTTTCACAACAACATCAAGATCAACAACCGGTCTCAGTTTGATTCGGTCATCGTTACCAAATTATATCTCACATTTAACTGACCCTGAGCTTGAAACACATCATGAAATAGACTCCGGCAACAGGAATAAAAGTTACTATTGTGAAAAGAATGATAAAAATTATCAAGATAATAACAGTAATAAAACCGATGATTCAGATTATTGGAGAAAGCGTTTGAAAAATCAACAGGATGGAAAACACTGCGAAGGATCAACACCAGTGATCAATAAGCCTTCATTGACACTCAGTTCGATTTCAAGACGAACATTACCTCGAACTTTCAATTCTTCGTCATCTTTATCATCTTCTTCTTCATTATCATCACGGTCATCAACATCAACATCAAAATCTCTCCAATCATCACCGATTGACAGTAATCTTGGTTCATCGGACTTTAATTGTTTATCATATTCATCTCCATCATCTCCATCATCCTCACCATCAGTAATATCTGCATCTTCTGGATTCGTGAGCTCACCAACATCACCAAGAATCATGAAATCTTCAAGTCATTTAGTTTCTTCAAGATTTAAAAGTGAAACTAATAACAGTACTAATCAGGATTCCAATGGCTCATCTTTAGTTTCTCAAGATTGTGTAGATTATGTTTCGACTCCCCAAGAACCACCACGTCCTCGGATTACTCGTTTTACGAAATCAAATCGATCATCAAAGGAAATCAATCACATTTCAAATGGTTCATCTTCCAATACAATCAAACCAACAAGATCTTATTCACGTTTAAATAGTTTACCTTGTAATCAGTATAAAAGTGATTATGATAATAGTGATGGTCAACAATCAAAACAAACTTGTCGCAATTATCTAAGAGCTTTATCAATACCTAGTGGATTAAATGGCGATTCTTTAAATTGTTCTAATCGGTCTAATTCAACATCAGATTCACGTGAATCTCTAGAAACCAGTAATTGCAATCAACGAATTGTTGGTAGTCTTCTCAATTCGCCTAAATGGTCAATGATAAAGGAAAAGTTTGAAAAATGTGATGGTCAAGATGAGAATAAAGAGAAACCTGAAATTGTGACTTACTCTTCTCCTCAACTTCGACGTAAAACTTATCCAACCTCCTCTTCCAGTTTAACACCTTCATTGTCATTGAGCAATTTAACTCTATTAACGTGTAATCATTTCAACAGAGTTCGTGCAACATCATTAACACCAAAAATCTCAACAATGGTCAATAAAAAGTGTTCATTACAATCAGATAATCCTAATCGGTGCTCATCCACTTCATTAAACTCATCAAATTCATCGTCTTCTACTCTAACTGATAAACATGTTAAATGTAATCGCTTCTCATCATCTGGTCGATTAACATTAACAGAAGCAACTTCACATTCATCATCATCATCATTGTCTCCATATTCATCACCATCGTCACCCTCCTACTCTCTTGATAACCATGGTAATTATCCGATGGAAAAGAAATGTAATTCTGGTAAGATCAATATGGAACAAGGGTCTAGAATGAAAAGTAATTCTCGAATCGCTCAAATTGCTTCTAAATTTGATGCAAATGTTAATCAAAATTCATCGGCTGTCGATTCTGTTAACTGTGGCCTAATAGATGAAGAGAAACCTTGGAAAAGTAAAAGTGACCTTCGTGAATCCAATAGGATGATCTCTACCTCATCATCATCTACCTCATCCATTTCATTGTTGACTGTGCATAAAAACTCATCTGACCAATTGAAACAATCAAATGTCTCCACAATTTCAAGAGCAACTAATTACTTGGCATCGTCTTCAAATTCACTGTCCAGTTCAATCAGCGGGAGGTCAGAAAATGTTGATGAGACTCACGAAGAGAATGAAGAAAAAGTTGTATCAGTTAAGGAAACAATTCTGCGTCTTGAATGTATTAAATCACCAAAAGGAGATAATATTCACCAATCAACAAGCAAAATTAATCGATCAACGTCAGATCAACAATCAAGTAAACCAGTAATTACCTCGAGAAGGAAAACTTTGCCTGGGGTAACATTTTCCAACAATGAAACAAATACGATTAATTTTACCGATGAGAGAACACAAATTAACGATGATAATTGTACTCATCATTGTACACCAGTTAATTGTTCAACCAAAGAATCAGGTAAATCTGTTAAAGCTCCTTTACCAGCACCGAGAAACATTTCAAATAATCAAAAGAATTCAAATTCGGTTAAATTATCATCATCAACTTTTCTTTCATCATCAATTTCACATCAGCAATTACCAAAAGACTCTCGATTATCATCATCATCATCGTCAACATCATCTTCAACCTTCACTCAATCTCTTCTCGCTGAAGATATCAAAAAGACGCCAAGTTTTCTGTGGAGCAATAATCCTAATCCTAATCCGAATCATTATAATAATCGTCTAAGAGGAACCAGTTGTTCACTTTCGTCTTCCCTCACCAATGTGAAAGAATCAAGTAAGAAACAAGAAGTTTCATCTCGCCAGTTTAACCAGAGTGTAAACAACATCAACTTGAGTGGAAACAACAACAACAACATAGAGGAACCAATTTATGAGCCTGTTAGCTATTCGCCGACACCAACAATAAGCAGCAGTAATTTTGGTGTTTCTCTTGGCAAAAACAGTCAATCGACCAATACAATTTCGTCTTATCGTGATACCCGATCTGTTTTCCATGATTATGATGACAGTATTTCGGTGAACAGTGAAAACTCATCTCTCTCTTATAGTGACTCTGGTTCTTATTCATCTGGTGTTCATGAACCATCAACACTTTCATCATCATCATCATCAAACCGATCAAACAGAACCACTCCCGGCTTTTCATCCATTTTACCACCTCCTTTACCACCTCGTTGGACAGAAGCCAATAAGCAAGGAAATTGTGTAAATACCTTGACCACAACATTGACCTCAACTTCCAATAGTCACCTGATCAATCCAACATCATCTATTGGTATTAATCTTAATGGTTTAGAAACCTACATTTCTAACCAGTGGAACAATAAAGACGATTGTTACGGTGCAGATCATATTTACGATAGTATTCACTACACGAATTTCTCTGATGAAGTGACCTTGGATAAGAGTGAGATGTTGAGTAAATTATTGAAAGAGTTGGAAGACATGTCACCAACTCGAGATCTCAAGGTGAAAGACAACAACAGCTCAAACAGTTATGATGTTTGTATCTCAAGGACACCATCGACTTTGAGCTGTTCCTCCATTTCTCGAAATGGGTCAAATGCTTCTGACAATCGGGATAAAAGTTCAGAAGATTTTTCCATCGGAGGTGTTACACCTAAAAGTAGTGAGAGTAATTCACCTTCAGGAACCATGGGAAATTCAAGTTGCTCATCTCAAACTCCTCCAAAAATCACCCCAAGAACCACAATAAAATCATCTAAAAAATTTGACTCCGATTCATTTGGTGGTTATGCCAATTTCCCCTCAATCTTGGAGGATAAAGTGCTCTCTTCAGGCTCTTTAATGGATTCTATTCTTGAGTCATCATCACCTTCTTTACGAGAAACAATTCAAAGGGAAATGAAACGCTCAGAGTATCTTTCCCAGAGCCATCATTCTGAAACATTGATGAAAACTCAAGTTTCCTTCATTCCAATAGGCTTTCTATTGTTAGCAAAAAGTCAGCCGATTATGTCGAAGCCATTGATCCAAGCGAGCAAAAAAAACCGAATATCAATGATCTTTACCGAGAGGGTCTCATCCATCCAGAGTCTCGTTACGAGACTCATGAATTTGAAGGATACATGGAATTCAAAGAGACTCGAGGCTTTTTCTCTTCAACAGCTGAACAACCTTTGTATCAATTGTACGATGAACAAGTTAAACACAATCGAATCCTTTGGGCTAGCGGATTAACTGATGATTCTCAGGATGATATTGATCCGTTGGATTCAATTTATGCTGAATTGGATGGAGCCTCTAATTGTGAATGCAACTCTTGTGAATCAGGAATCGATGAAGCCAACACACCAACAACTTCACTGACATCTTCAATTGCGTCAACGACAAGAACAACACCTCACATATCGGCCATTGATTTAGTTGGTAAGAATGGTAATCGTCAACTTTGGTGCGAAGTGCCACAAGTTAAAGAAGCTGGTGTAGCATCTAAACTGTCACCAAAAGAGAGGAAACACCAAGAAGCGATGTTTGAAGTGATAACATCAGAAGCCTCGTATCTCAAGAGTTTAGACATTCTAGTCAATCATTTCATGAAAAGTGAAGAATTTGCAAATCCAGAAATTCTCAATCCCCATGATAGAAGTGGCCTTTTTTCTAATATTGAATCCGTCTTTGAAATAACTCGACGCTTGATGAAAGATTTAGATGATCGTTGGCAAACCAATGTTGTCATTTCTGATGTTTGTGATATTTTACTGAGATTTACAACATCCGAATTCGATGAGTACATAAAATATCTGCGTTTCTGTAAGAAACAAGAGAAAACCCTGAAAATTTTACAAAAACAACCAAAATTTGCTCTCGCCTTGAAACAATTGGAAACAAATCCAAAGTGCCATGGACTCGCATTGACTTCCTTCCTGTTGTTACCCATGCAACGGATAACCCGATATCCTCTTCTAGTTGAAGCCATACTTAACCATCGACCTCCAACGGAAACAGATAAATATGAGATATGTCAAAAAACTTTGGCTGCTCTTTACAAGGTTGTCAACGATTGCAACGAAGAGGCCAAAAAAACAGAGCGACTTCAAGAGCTCATTGATTTGGACAGCATTTTAAACTTTGATAAAGTTAAATACTTCCCACTGATAAGTGAATCAAGACATTTAATGAAAAAAGATGAAGTTGTCAGATGGAAACAAACATCAAGTTCAATCATTCCCGCTCGCGGTCGGAACCCGTTGTGGAAAAAGTCACCTCTCCATCTTTACCTATTTAACGACCTTTTGCTTATCGCCTCAAAGAAAAGGTAAATGAATATCAACTGATTGGTTAACTTGTTAATCTGATTTGATTGTTTCCTTTCCAGTGAAATTTGCTATTCAGTGAATGACTATTGTGAGAGAAACTGTTTGACCGTCCGATCCATTGATGTTCCCGGCGAAGAGGGAACACCTCCAATTGGAATGAAATCAAGCCTAGAAAATTTGGTTCAATTGACTTTCCTCAAGAATCATGCAAGACGAACTTGTGAATATTTCATTGCTTTTCCAACTGAGTAAGTTTCATTCTTTGATTCCTTTTATCATGACTTTCATTACGATTATAATAATAACAGTTCACAATGTTTTCATTTGGTTTTCATTTTCTTGCCAAATAATAATCATCAACCCTCATCATGTTCATTGGAAATTAGTTAATAGAAATCAAGATCTTGCAATGTTAAATGAATTCTTTATGTTCCTTAGTTAATCAAATTAACTCAGACAAACATTAGAAGCTTCAATTAAAAGCTCAATCATGTCGTAGGCTAAAAATGAGAAAAGTGATTAATTTAATTTTCAACGGTAAACTTTAGTCAACTTGTTTGTAAGTTTGTAGTTAATTCTTATTCATTATTTACTTGATTCCAGAAATAGTCTCACTCATGATTTACATGATAATCATAAGTTATCATCATCGTGACCTTCAAATGTTTAAACTAATTTTTCAATTCATATTTAATCATATGTTTCATTTTCATCACTCTTTTCACCTTTATCTTTTCATCTAAAATTCATTTTCATGAAAAGTTCTGGAATCATGAGGTTATCTCCATGTCTAGGTCGATCCTTTCCAGTTTCTTTATTCAATTTAACCTCTTATAATGAGGTTCTTAATTGTAATTAAATGTTGCTCTCACCAAAAGTAACTAATCAGAAAATCTTAATACGTTATTTTGATGGTCAATTTGGAATTTAGAATAAGAGTAACATCGAGACTCTTTTTAAAAATGGAAATCAAATTATCATTAATTAAAACGAAATTGTGTAATTAGAGTTAACAATTTCACCTCAAGGATCAAGTGATGAATCAATTTCCTTAAGTTGCTTTTGTTTTCTTGATTTTTCTCAATAATTAGTAACAAAACCGGAAGATAATCCAAAACAAAAAGTTCTTCTCTATTGAAAATGATTATTCTGATTATTGTTTTTCTGAATCAATCACAAAAACTGAACAATAATCTAAGATCATTGGCTTTGTTTGATTGTTGATTCATTTCCTTGATATCATCAAGTTTATCCTTTTGAAACTTATTCAGGATCTAATACTTTTCTATTGCGATTGATTGTCTCAATCAACTGATCAGTTGATTTCTAGTCAAAAATATTCAATTAATATAATTATTTTTAACTAATTTTAGTTCAGCAATTTTACTTGCATCTAAAATTAAGATTAAATCAATTCACCAAAATGCTAAACAAAATTACCAATAGTCAATTCAATTGAATCTACTAATTACTTTTACATGAAATTATCCCACAATTAGTGATTTATTGCTTTGCAATTATCATTTCAAAGATAATCTTTATTGAGTGAAATTATTTACATTCGGCCTTGATTGTCAATATATCGACTTTGATTGTCGAAATCAATATTTTCTTCAATTTTTGTCATTTTCTCTTCTTTCTTTCTGGCCAATCCATTGTAAAGGGTGGACCAGCTAATACGTTAGAATAAGATGAGTTAAGCTTGACCAGATATCTAATAATCAACGAGGAGACCCTCTAGATGTAATCAAGATCAACATTGCGATTAAGTTTAATCATTTTTCTTTTAGATGCAATTTAAATTGTTGTTTTCAAAGAGCAATTCAACTTTACAAAGTATAAATATTATCTCATATTCATCACTTGATTCGAAGGACAAAAAACTCTTGATTTTAATAACTTGATTGTTGTTTCTTTTATATTTAATCATAAATAGTAATCTTGATTATCTTCTTCCTGTTTCTTTCTCCATTGACCATTGTCCAGATTATCTGATTATCTGATTATCACCATTAACACTTAATCTGTAAGATTTACCTGTTTTCAGTTGTTCAGAAATCTATTATCATTAATGTCTTCCTATTTTTCTCAATTTAACCAGGATAATAACTCAGAATGCGAATTTGTAACAAGATTATATTAGATATTTCCTATTATATTATTAATACTTTCAAGATAATTAATGGGATTTTACACGATTTAAATTCTGAAATTCATTTTAATTGTGAGTTCATAATTTCAAGAGGTTTTGAGTTGTTCTTTTGAAATTTTCTATTATTTTTATTGTAAAGTTTTTTTTAAGAAATAACAATAATTTGAATTGAAGAGTTTGAAACTTGGATGATTCAAGAGAGATAATCATCATGGATGATCAGTCAATGGTTTATGGTTAATTAATTTGCTTCGGGAATATTTTTCCATATTACTAACAAGCAAAATGACTTCACTCGATGTTACTCATTCAAAGATTTCATGTCAATAACATTTTGATTAACATCAAGTCTTTAATTTTTCATTTTCTTAATCAGAACGGATAAGATCAGATTCATAGAAGCAATCGAACCACCCAAATCAGATAAACCGAATGAAAAGATTTACGAAGAATGGGGTAAGTGTCTAATTCGCTATACAACTTAAATCTACGAACTAATTGTTGATGATAATTATATTAATTCTAATTTAGATTGTCCTCAAGTGATTTGTGAAAGGCAATACAACGCACAACAACCCGATGAATTGAGTTTGGAAAAATCTGATGTGGTCAATGTTTTCCGTAAAACGAATGGTAAAATTAACTTTCTCTTTATGATGGAAAACAACAATTAACTCACTTTATTTAATTTCTTTTCCTCCTAGATTGGTACGAAGGTGAAAGAATCAGAGACGGAGCTCGTGGTTGGTTCCCCGCTTCGTGTACCCAGGAGATCGTTAATAAACACGTTCGTTCGCGTAATCTAAAACTCCGTCATAGATTAATGACATTAACGGAACAACACATTTTGGAAATGCAAAAGAATCAATAATCAATAATTATCAATCATTCGATTGTTAATTGATTCTCATAATAGTTTCAACGTCATTATCCCCAAAGAAATCATCTTTTCCTCTTTAAATTTATCTCTCGTGCTCAAATATCTTCATCAATTTTATCAAATATTTGATTTCATATTTTAATCACTTTGTACATTCATTACACATAAAGTACTTTATCGTAACTGAATCGAGTTTACTTTTGATAATTTGATAATTCAATTGACTGAATCGGTTAACTATGTATTGATAACAGCCAATTCGATGATACATTGGATGACATAGTAAGAAACTTAATCTGCTCATCTGAAACCCGAAACTCAGTGGATTAAATATTAATCGGGTTTAAATTTTTCATTAACAAGTAAGAATATTGATTTTACTTTATGCACGTGTGAGTTGATAGTAATGCAAACATAGGAAATGGTTTTCAATATACAAGTTAAGTCATCAAATTAATTTTAAATAAGAAGCCATTCGAGTTGATGAGCAATTGGCTTGGATCAATTGTTGGTTTAGATAAATTTAAATATCGGTAGAATGCAGCTTGATAAAAAAGTTCTGTAAGAAAAGAAAATAAATATCAAAATTGTCACTTATAAGTGAGTTGGGACAGTATGTTGAGTTTGGATGGCTGGACGACTTTTTGGTTGGACGTTTCTGATAAATCCACTGATTCCATTGATTTAGTCCAAGTTCCTTGGTTGCTGATTTTAACCATTTGTTGGGTTACATTGCTCATTAAACGACTACCAGATCCATCAGGGATAAACCTTGACCAAGATGCTGAGAAACTCGCAAACATACTAGTCTGAATATTATTGCCTTCCTTGTAGTTCGTTTTATTGCCATAACATCGAGTTGCCCAAAAACCCGAAGTGATCCAGTTTGTTTGTTGCTCGATTTTCTGAAAAGATTCATTATCACGGGAAGAGTGTAAATCGGTACCAAGTTTATCCAAAAGCTTGTCAAAAGGTTCGTCCTCGGTAGTACAATGGACAACTTTGTTATTCTTGTCAATACTTAAACCAGCTAAGCGTTTTCTCAAGAAAGAATCAGGCTTGATGGCCAAGTCCCGACATGTTGATACGGATGATGATGTCGGTGAGACCGGGTTTTGATCTACCGCGGAAACAGTAGTCTGGTGGTGAGATGATTCAGATGAACAATTTTTCGATTTAGATGCTGAAATGAGCTCATTGTTTTCTCTAAATGATTGAACCAATTCTCTATGACTAGGATTTATTGAGCGGACATCTCGTGGTATATGAGTCTCTTTGTGACAATAAAACTTGACACAAGAAAGAGAATGGCAAATTAGGAGAATCAGTGAAAGAGCAGCTAAACTTGCTGATAGAATACATTTGAAGATGAACAGTTCTGATTGAGAAAAATAATTGGAAATCTCTGGCAAATGAGATAATTTAGCTGTGAACCAGAGAAGAGAAAGAACCGCATCCCATGGTTGATAATTCGCATTTCTTTCAAGTACCAGGATTATCACAGAGAGCATGAAACCAATAACAGTAATAAGAAATCGTGGAGCCCAATCCGTTAAAAGGGCTCGAATTTGTTCAGGTAAATAGATCAATTTGAGCTTTGAGTCTGCCTCCAAATCGACAATATCACAAAGTGTTAATGCAACAGCAACCAGAATAAGAACTGTGGTTAAAAATAGAGTCAGTAAAGACCATAAGAGTACAACCCCTTTACTGAGTTCAGATTCAGGAGATGGAGAAGTCACCGGAACTGGAGATGATTTTACATTTGGAACTGCTTTCAATTTCGGCTTAGGTACTGGTGAGAGTTGAATGGGTAGACCAGCATCGTTTACTTTTAATTTCATCGCACAAAAGGTCAATTTGATTTTTTTACCAGAGAATCAAGTTAAATGTGATTCCCTTAGATCGCAGCCAAAGGTAAGAAAGAAATAGTTCAACGGATGTGATTCTATGAAACAAAGACTTCACCAGAAATGCACCAAGAAAATGCAAAGGTGAAAACACATGATTAAAACCTAATTAAATTGCGATGAAAAAATTTTGAAACATTAAAACAAAAAGTAAACAATAGAATTGATTTTATTATCATCATGTAGACAAATGCATTAGGCATTTTTGCCACCAGGGCACCGAACTAGACGTTCAGTTTACAGAGAATGTTTTTCTTTAATGATTACAAATATTTTAAAATTCCCATTTGTTCTTTCATAGATTTGCCGGGTCCTTGAAGTGATGTCCAATTTTCAAAAGCATATATTTTAAATGTCAAAGTTTAAATTTTTTCTTTTTTAAATGTTTCATTTTAAATATGAGTTTGTTGGGTAGACATGTTTAAATATCGATTGTTTAAATATTGCCTATAGCAAGTTTACTTACTTCACTATACTTACGATCACTTTTCACATTTTGGGTTAGGTGATAAGGGAGACATTTTGATGTAAATTGTTATATATATCACTCGATGCACAGGAAAAAGTTGTACTTGAAATTAGACTGATGCATATTGACTGTTTTTTTCTTAATTAGTTATAATTAATTAATCACAGAGTTAAGAAGGTAGATGTTAACCAAAACATTGAATAAGTTGAATGAAAAGCGAAACACCAGATGGAGCCACTCGGGTTTCTTTCATTTTGTTTACTTTTTTGTTTCTTGGTTTTTGGTTAGTTTGTTATGATTAATTAATTTGCCTTAAAGTCATGATTATCGAGTGGAGAGCTTTCAAATTTACTAATTTCATCACCGTTTTTAATATAACCTTGTTCACCAGATTGTTAATTATCTTTAATTTGATTGAATTTTTGTTGGCATTAGGATTAACTGGCAACAGTTATGACCAGAGTATCGCTTATAAACTTTTACCCACTTCTGAAAAGAGAGAGTTACAAACTCATTTGCTTAATCTTCTTGGATTGGATCATCGACCGAAACCGAAAAGAAAAGGTAAAACTTTCACTTCCCTTCTCTTCCATTAATCAATGGCGATCATCTTCTTATAACCTTCTTTTCTTTCCACAGAAATTTTCTCATCTATTTATCTAAAAGAAATTTATCAATCTTTTCTCAATGAGGATACTTTGAATCTCATCTACAAGGATGGTCATCCTTTTTATCATCGTGTACAATTTGATAGCCATCCAACTGTCAAAGCTTTTAACGAGTCAGATGTAATTGTGAGCTTTATGAACGATAATTTAGCTAAAATTAATGGATTGGATTCTAACCTGAGCAAAGGATCTAGATTTTGGTTTAACACAAGAGAAATAGCTCAAGGGAGCAAAGTTTCTAGTGCTGAGTTACGATTGTTCAAGAACGAAACTCATCCAGAAATCCTCGACCTTTTCGAGATAAATATTTATTTCATTGATAACGAACGTAATAAGTAAGTTGATTGTACCTGATTGTAGTTTAGTACCTTATTTAAGGAGTAATATTATTCTGTATTTCTAGAAAGTTAAGATTGATCGAAAGCAAAACTTTCTCAAATGTTCGAGGATGGTTAATATTCAACGTCACTGGTGCCATACAAACTTGGATTGATAATCCAAACAGTAATTCTGGTCTCTATATGACTATTTACTCAACGTCCACAGGTAATTTGCCTTTTTCATTGCTGATCATGTATCAATCAGTTCTGTTTTTTTCAATCTCAGGTAAAGAGCTTTCACCTGAAAGCATAGGACTAAATGGATCGATGGAAAACAATGAAAATCTTCCGTTCGTTTTCGCGTTTTTCAAAAGCCATTCGCATCTACTACATAGGAAGAAAAGAGATGTTAAAAATAACGAAGAAGTGTCCACTTACAAACCACATAATCCATATTATGGTTAGTCATAGATTCGATCTGTTCAAGACTAAATGACTCTAATGATCTCTATTTTTCATATACAGAATTAACAGAATTTGTCTCTAACCGAAGTTGTCAGAAAAAGAGCTTATTTGTCAGTTTTAAAGAACTCGGATGGCAAGATTGGATTATCGCTCCTGAAGGTTATGCCGCTTCTTTTTGTGATGGCGAATGCTCCTTTCCGTTAACCGCTCAAACGAACGCCACCAATCACGCCATAGTTCAAACCCTCGTCCATTTAATGAAACCAAGCTCAGTGCCGAAAGCCAGTTGTGCCCCAACTAAACTCTCGTCGATTATGGTTCTTTATTTTGACGACAATTCAAACGTTATCCTTAAAAAGTACAGAAATATGGTCGTTAAATCTTGTGGATGCCATTGAACAAACTTGATAAATTTATTTTTATTTTCCAATTCAATTCAATTCAAAATTAGCAGTGCACAAATTACTTACATTATTTGCTAAATCAATTCTCTGATTTTCTTGAAATTTGTAATTTATCAATCACCATTCATCAAGCGTTGATTAAAGTTACCATCGCAATCTCTTTATCTATCAATCAATTTGTTACGTTATTCTAGACACGAAAGTTGTGTAAAGTGTTTCAATGAATAAAATTAAATAAATTAAATTTTCTCATTGAGTTTGAAATTTTAATTCTTATTTAAGAGAAACCGAAAGAATAGGAGAGAATTTAGATTGACTTTATACAGACAAATTTGAAACATTTAAATGATAACAATAATTTAATTTACATGTTCTAACTCGAATAAATCATTTCAAGATGTTAAGATTGTTTCAAGATTCGTGCTCTGGGTTTCATCATCTCCACATAAATGGTTCTGTTAAAACTTTTTAGCCAAAATATTAACTTGCTAAGCTAAATCCTCCAAGTAACACATATTATCTAAATTACCCACAGAGACTAAAGTTCCCTTGGATTTAACTATCTTTGATGCAATTGATTGAATATCCTTTAGTGTAATACCATCAATGTGTTTCTCCAATTCATCGATGGATTTAGCCTCATGTTGATTCATAAGTGTAGCAGCTAAGGTATCAATGAGATTACCTTCATCTTCAGAAGCAATCAAAAGAGCCGCTTTGGCTTGATTTCTAGAAGAAGGAGAAGAAAACAAGTAATTAGATTAACAATTAGTTTGGTCAATATGAGATGATGGACTTACTTTGCGGTTTGCAATTCGTCCTCTTTCACATTTTTACAAGTTTCTCGCATTTTATTGACCACAGCCTTGACAATGTCTCCAGATTCCTTGGCATGACAAGCAATAGCAACTCCAAATAAACCAGAATCAGCATAATTTAGATTTAAAGTATCTACTCTGAATGGAGCTTTAGCTACTTTTCCTGCAGCTTGAGAGAGTTTGCTAGCACCCATTCCTTTTGGAACGTGAACTCCAGTTGAGAGAATATTTTGCAATAAAGTGAAAGCCAAAACATCCTTAAGATTTTCAGAACTAAAAGTGAAAAAGTAACATTAGTGATCTTTCAAAAACCAAAATTAATCAACTCAACATGAGAATAGGATAGTTACCTTGCTCCCTCAGTTGCGACCACAGCATAAGTTTGATTACGACCAGCGTCCATAATTAATCTAGATTCACCTCCAATGAATTTAGATTTAGCAAGCTCTGGACCAGAGAAATCAGATAATCCGAAAGTCTTTTCGACATGTTCTAATAGATGATCTTGATCAACCCCTAGTCCAACGATCGCAACTCGTTTATTAATAAAAGTTCTTTGATGGTAATGATGAAGCATTTCTGATAAATGTTCTGGATCATGATGCTCAAGAACCTCTTTAGATGCGAACAGGGAATTGGACAAACCTCCTCGAAAAGCAATTCGGTGAACTTCCTCAAGGAGAACTTGTTGTGGGTCAATCCTGGCTCGTTCAATCTCTACTTCCATTCGGTATCTATAATCATCAAGTTGCCAAAATTTAAAGGCTGGTCGAGAGACTGTATCGGCAAGATATTTGAAATTGTCCTTGATGGATTCCCTTAATCCATTCATACGGTAAATGATATCATCACGAGTAGAGGAAACAGTTAGAGATGCACCAGAATACTCAATATTTCGTGTAATACCAAAGATGGTGAAATTTTGTGTGTGCATTCCAGCAGCATATCGAATGAAATGAGATGCACCTACTTCCTTAGAAGTTTCAAAACGAGGTCCAGCACGAACATAAACTCCAATTTTAGCTACTGGTGAAAGATTATCCAAAGAAGCAACAACCATACCATTAGGTAAAACCTTTTGTTTCAATTCACCTTTAACCAATTCCTTTTTAGGTTCACTTTTACGAACAGCTTGAGCCTGGGAAGCATAGGATCGCTTCACCAACCTGGAGAGACTCGAAAGCTCAAGTTTTCCCTTCATTATTCACCGGAGAATGACCACAACAAATAAAATGTCAAAAGTAAACAATTAAAGAGGCTCAGATTTAATCACAATCTGTAAATAACTGACACCGAATCAGGACAACCCAAGGTTGAAATAGTAACTATAGTTACTAAGGTTAAACTATTTTTCTATTTGGGGACCGTTCATATAGTACAATCTGTAAACTCGGAATTTAATTCTTTCTAGTAACTAATCATTTTTATCAATTCTGTTGTCAGATTAACCAGATTATCACCAAAAAGGTTGATATGATTAGATTTGCAAGTGACAAGATTGTTCAAAGGCGATGACATTCATCACAATCTAGTCTTTTCTTTCATTTTAAACAATCAAGTGATGTTAATTTGCTTTCAGTCCAAACATAACGGTACAAATTAATTTCTCATCTTTTCCTTGACAATAATTTAATTATCCACCTCAATTGTTTTTCTCTGTGAATTGTTTGTAATACAATGGACTCTTATGAGAATTTGATTAAAGATTATTGGACCAATGGATATGCTGTGTTCCCTAATTTTCTTGATTCAAATGATGTCGATTCCATTTTGAAAGAGACCAAAAATATCGTGGAAACTTTTGATCTCAATGAAAATCGAACTGTATTCAAAACGGGAAAAGGGCAACAAGGAAATGACTATTTTCTCAATTCAGGAGATAGAATTTCTTTTTTCTTTGAAGAGAAGGCCCTTGATTCTGATGGCAATCTAATTGTTCCTCGTGGTCAATGTTTGAACAAAATAGGTCATGCTCTTCATCATTTCAATCCAATCTTTAAACAGGTAACATTCAATGATCGAATCAAAAATCTGTTAAAAAGTCTTGAATTCGTGGAACCAGCGATTGTCCAGAGCATGATAATATTTAAGAACCCGAAAGTTGGAAGTGAAGTTACAGCTCACAAAGATGCCGAGTTTCTATTCACTGAACCAGAGATTAAATTGACTGGATTATGGTTCGCATTAGAAGATGTTACTCTCGAAAACGGGTGTTTATGGTTCATTCCAAAGTCTCACAAGGAAAATGTCACTCGTAGATTCGTAAGAAGTGAAGACGATTCGGGGATCAAAGTTTCATTCGATTTCCCTGAAACGGAGTATGACGAGTCTTCATTTCGACCTGTTACTGTGCCGAAAGGATCTTTATTGCTTATCCACGGATTAGTTGTTCATAAGAGTGGACCTAATCAATCGAATTCACCTCGACCAGTTTATACATTTCATGTAATCGATCAGTTTGAGACCAAATGGTCGCCGATTAATTGGCTTCAACCAACAGAACGACTTCCATTTCCAAGATTTTATTAATAATCAACAAGAGACGCAAAAGAGAAAGTGATATTTTCTGATATTATTTTTACATTGTAATAATTTACTAATCAAAACAGAAAAAAACATTGAGCAATTCAAACCTTAATTGACAAAGATCATTTGATTATAATGATTAGAAAAAGTTAATCAGTTTCACTTTAAAACCAGTTAAACTTGTCGATTAAACTGTTAGAGTCAATGTTTTTTCTTATAATTTCAACGAGTTCATTGACTATCAAATTGAATTCAAAGTGAAATTGTTCAATTGATTAAGAAACTGGAAATAAATGATATTCTTCATCAAATTCAAGTTGAGATTCAGATTTAATAATAATAGAAAATGTCGAATCTCTGGTCTTTTATATTATATATCATCTAAATTGATCTAAATAAATGTTAATCGTGTTAATACTGACACATTTTCAATTGTAGATTCAACTATATTTCGTTAGAGCCATTTAGCTGAACGAATTAGACATAAAATGACTAAAATGAAGGTAAAAAGTAAATCTAATTAACTATATCCTGTAAACACCTTTAGATGCTTAATGAACATTTTGTAACAATTAATGTCAAGATTATCAATCACATTAACTATTAAGGTTGCATCGTAATTCAGTTCAGGTTATCACTTGTTTCCAGTAAATCCGGATTGACATTTCATCCAATAAGTGGTCGCTAATTGTTAGAGTGACAGCAAACTTTATTTAATAATAATAATGAAAAAGTGAATTAAATCAAGTTCAATGGTCTCAGGTCAATGGCCATTCAATGAGAAAATTTTGTTAATTGTATCCCAAATGTTCATTTTCACCTTTATCCATATCATGAAATCCACACCCAATCAACATCTCAGCATTTGCCCGCCCTTTGCCTGTTTCTCAGTCTCTTTACCAAAGAAAATATCATTTCGTTTATAAATAACGTTCATTTCTTTAATTGATAATCATTTGCCTTTTGAACATCACCTTGATAGTCAATAGAATCAGTTGCTAATCATGAAGCAATTGATTAATTTAGTTGTTTTTGTGTTTCTCACCCTATTCACTATTGGTAAGTTGCAGTTAATCTGAAAGTTTCAATCTCAATCTTTTAATTAATCGTTTTCATCTATTTCGATAGTTAATTGTGAAGTGAAAAATGTAACAAATCAAATTCCTGGAAAAATTGTTTGTTACTTTGCTGCTTGGGCGAATTACCGAAAGCCTCCCATGAATTATGATATCGACAATATTTCGGGTGATCTATGTACTCATGTCATCTATTCATTTGTTGGTATGAATGAGAAAACCTTTGAACTTGAATCAATCGATCCCGAATATGATTATGTCAGGAGTAAGTTCCATTATTTTTAAAACAAATTGTTTCAATCTAATTAACTGTCTGTTAATTTGATCGTCAGAGGGATACGAAAAGTTTGTCGGTCTTCGTGAGAAGTGGCCTCAGTTGAAAGTGATGATTGCTGTGGGCGGATGGGCCGAAGGTGGTGCTAAATATTCAAATATGGTCGCTGATGAAGGAAGAAGAAAAACTTTCATCTCTTCTGTGGTATCGTTTCTGAGAAAATATAAATTCGATGGGTTCGATTTGGATTGGGAATATCCTGGAGCCACTGATCGCCAAGGAAAATATTCTGATAAAGAAAATTTCCTTAAATTAGTAAAAGTTAGTTGATTAATCATCTTAATTGCTCTCAGTCTAATTGATTGTTAAATTATCTAGGAAATGAAAGCTGCATTTGATGACGACAAATATATTTTATCTGCTGCTGTTCCTGTTGCCAAGTTTCGTCTACAAGAAGGTTACGAAGTTTATGATTTAGCGAGGTAATTAATTGATTGTTTCCACTGTTATTCCCACTTTGACCTTGATTTAACTTCTATCCATGTATAATCAGGTATCTAGATCAAATTCATGTCATGACTTATGATCTGCGAGGTAATTGGGCTGGTTTTGCCGATGTTCATAGTCCATTGTATCCGCGATCATTTGATGAATATGCTTACGAGAAACTCAATGTTGTAAGTATATCAACTTGTCGATGTAGAGCCGATTTCATTATAGCAATTGATTGATTGATTGATTCGATTTGATTTGATTAGAGAGATGGTCTTCAATTATGGGCTTCGATGGGAACACCTAAGCACAAGTTAATTGTTGGTGTCCCTTTTTACGGCCGAAGCTACACCCTCGGTAGTAAAGAAAATAACGGACTAAAAGCCCCGATTAAGAAGTGGATCGGAGGTGGAGAAGCGGGTAACTATACCGGAGAATCGGGAATTCTTGCTTATTATGAGGTAATAATAATTTGTTTCTATTTGATCAATGAAATCAAACTAATCCAATGAAATTAATTCGTTAAAAAGATTTGCAATCAAGTGAAATCAAAAAATTGGACAAGAAAATGGGACGATGCTGGTAAAGTGCCTTTCGCTTATTATCAAGACCAATGGGTTGGTTATGAAGACGAAGAGAGTTTATCAATTAAAATGAAGTTCATTCGTGATCAAGGTTATGGTGGAGCTATGACCTGGTCTTTAGGTAATTATTTCCCTTTCATGGACTTTCATGTATCTTATACGTCTCATCTCTTTCGTCTCTTCTATCTTTCAGATCTTGACGATTTCAATGGTATTTGCGGTAAAAAGGACAGTTTACTGAGAGTTCTCAATGACGATCTTAAAGGCTACCAGGTCATCATGCCTGATCCCTCAGAAATGACCACTACTGCCAAGCCTTCACCAACTTGGTGGACTCAACCTTCATCTGTTGCTTCAACCAGACCATCAACAACAACATCACCTTCAGTATCCTCGTCGACAGAGATACCTAATGTTCAAGGAGGATCAACATCGAAACCTGCATCCGAAGATGAAGTTCCTAAGGATATGGATTGTTCCAATTCAGCGACTCAATTCGTTCCTCATCCATCTGATTGTTCAAAATACTTTTGGTGCGTTCATGGTAAACCAATGGAGTTAACTTGCCCTAAGGGAACCTTATGGAATCCAAATGGAAATCGTTGCGATTGGGATTATAATGTCAAGACCTTAAATTGTAACAGCATTTAAATATACGAATAGACTCATTCTTTTGATAATTAATATATTGTAATAATGTAAATGAGTTGATAGTCAAATCTAAATTATTTTTGTCAATAATAAATATTTTAAACTCAACTGCTAATTTCTGAAAAGTTTCTGAAAAAAATATTAAATTTGAAACACATTCAGTAATCACAATTTGAAGTTTAATTTTCCCATGAATGATTAATTGATTTAGTTCATTTTCAATATACATATTAATAAATCTCAAAATATTATCAGTGAAAATATAGAAAAGATTATTTTAGTTACACAAATTTTATGAATAAATGGCGAAATTTGATTTAATTTGAGATAATATTTGATTAGAATCTGAATCTCGCGAGATTAACTGTTTTTTGGGTTTTAGCGGCTGATGACGAGGTTTGTCTCATGAATGACCTTGGCTCACCATTTGACGGGATTTGGTTCATTCGTCTAACTGAATATTCGGGTGGATTTTGAACTCTACGTTTCACAAGATTCGGATTAGAATCTATGAGATTGGACGAGTTTGGACCATTATTTAAATAGCTTTTCGATCGGTCGTATGTCGATTTGGCTGCAATTCGATTAACTATACTTGGTGGAGAACGTCTTAAATTACTTGTACTTCGAGCAACACTTCGATATAAACGATGTTCTAATGGATCTCTTTTCGTTGAATTAATTTTATTAAGTCTATTAGTTGATTGTAAATCTTGTTCTGAATCATCGTCCGTGGTTTCCGCTTTCAGGGGCTTAGGTGGAGTAGTTAAACTATCTTTTCTGACCGGAACTCGTGATCGTGAACTTTTACCATTAAACAATGAAGACGAAGATGATGAAGATGAAGATGATCTTCCGATTGAGGACATGATTTGTTTTTCCGTCAATTGAACTGGTTTCACATAAGCTGCTGTTGAATTGTTACTCGTTGGTGATAAAATTGAGTTTCTCCTACTGTTTAATGGGCCAATCAGTTCAGATTTGATTGAAGATGATGACGACGATTTCGATGAAGTTTCCAATACATTCGGTCGACGAGCTATTCCGTTACTATTATTCTCTTTCGAATCTTTTGTTGTCTCGATCTGAGTTGGTGCTATAACTGCTGTTGGCTGATTCGATTGATTGGTGAATATTAGTCCTTTTGATCCGCTGTTTTCACTCGAGTCTAAAGATTTCCAATAATTACGAGCATCTTTCGATTCCTCTTTGTCCACTGATGTTCCAGTGGTTGTATTGACGATTGGTTCTTGAGGTTCAACTGAATTCTCGGAACAGTTGAGTAATTTTCTATTAGAACTTTTAATTGAAAATGACCTTCTACTTGGCGTGAATCTTTCAAATGGACATTTTTCCTCTTTCTCATCGACTTTTGCATCTGATTTTAACAATTTAGGTTCTTCGGGAATCTCGAATATGTTACACTCAATGTCACCTAATCGTGTATTTGAGGAGTAGAGTCCATCTGAATTTGGAATACGTTCTCTCGCAGATTCGGGGTGATACGAATTAACTGTTCGAGTTGTTGATCTTCGACCGCTTCCAACTCTTCTTAGTGATCCATATGCAGAATCGTAAATTGATCCAGATAAATCATTGGTGCTTTTGAGTAGTTCCATCAGCCCAGTTGCTAAATCGTCATCAGTATTAGACTCATTAAGAGCCAGTCGACTCGCTCTAATCTTAGGTAAAGTATTACTTCCGGATAGAATGAGCTCTCCACCGTTAGCTTCCGTTTCAGTTATAACGTATTTACGATTCTCATTGGTCAGATTTTTTCTTCTTCTTTCATTTTTAGCTTCAACTTCACGTCTTCGCTCATTTTCATCACAGGCCAATTTGAATCGTTGGCAAAATGAAGCAAAAACAGAAAAACATTCATCCAATTTGAATGTCGATATATCTTCACAAAGGAATTGAGCCAAATCAATCCTGGTTCTTTCGATTTCAATTTCTATGGAAACAGTTAATCTCTCGATCTCTTTTGATGCTGCATCGAGAAATCGACTCATCTCAACGAAAAAGAGTTCTAAACATCCTTTCAATGACGATATTGTCTTTTTCAAGCTTGTTATTTTACTCGAAATCGCTTTGATCTCATCTTTTAATGAGTCAACCGATATCCTGTAAACAAATAATAACAATTAGTCGATTCGTAGACTCAGATCAATAATCGTTGATTGACTTACTTAGCAGCTTCTTCAAAGCTATTAGAACACTCAAGAAACCCATGAATATTTTTCTTCACTGATTCTAAAGCTACGTAATGGATTAGACTGAATCCTGGTTTATTACCTCGAATCTCTGATAGTTTAGTCAAGGACATCATCTTAAATCCAACAGCATCTCCGGCGTATCCTCCCTACAATTAATCAAAAACAATTAAAAATCCAATAGCATCAAACATTAGATTGTTCTTACCGAGTTGAGAAAGTTTCCAGCAACAAGAATTAAGTACATGACATTTCGTAGATTTTCATTTGTTTTGAGCTCTGTAATTGGAAGAAAGAAAACTTGAATTAACAGAATTCATCGAATTTTATTAGAATAATAATTTACCGTTAGCTGCTGCTTCAATTATCGAAATCGATGGTTCTAAGGATGCGATGTTAGAGTCAAATTCCTCCTTTACGAGCATACATTCAATTCGTAATTGGTAACTGGAAAAATAATTCGTTTCAATTAATCAGACTGATTATTAATCCAAATTAATGATTATCATCATTTTGATACTTTTGTCTTTTGCAAACCTACAACTTTTTAGTTTGGAAAACTGTACAAGGCCATTTTCAAGGTCAATTCAACCTAATTGTTTTCATTAATCTAACCATTAATTATCTAATACAAGGTTAATTTTATCAATTTGTTGATAAATTTTTCGTTAATTTTAGACGATGAAGAGTTAGTTAAATGATGAAAACCCACGGATTAATGTCAATCAATAAATGATCACTCTAATTAAATTGATTACTTGAACTATAAGACTGTCAATATCAAGCAAGGAAGTTGTTAGAGCGAATACCAAATCAATGTAATCTAGTAATTAGATAATCACTTATATGGATTGTTTTGTATTATTATTGAATTAGATAACCAAATAGCCTTGATTGTGGCCTTTACGAGTGTTACTAATTCAGTTACTCATGAATTTTTCGCCTTCGCTGACTAACCGATTCGCTGCTTCATATTTGTAATATTGTTTCTTTCGTGTTTAGTTAATTTGTAGGATGATAATCAAGTTGGAATCAATGATTCATTCTCATTAGTAATTGATCTCTTCAATTAACATCTTAGTTCATCAAATAGTAACTTATGGGCCTTAGATATTAACCATATCTTGGAAACCATACTGATCATTTTACTTACTTGGGAATTTGAATCAACTGAGTTAAAAATTTCTCGGCGATTGGCATTCGGTTCAAATCATTGATATACTTTTGTAATTGTTGCTTCTCATTTGATTCTGGTAATAGTTTCATTAGACTTCTTAATCTTTCTGCTCCAATTGACCCATGGTCGCCATTTTTAATCGAATCAATCAGTTCTTCGGTTGATCCTCGAAATTGTTTCAAAAAGATGTTCACTGAGAGCGATTTCTTACCATCTAGAATATTGAGATTAATTGTTTCAGGCGGAGAGATTTGATTGGTTCCATATTCGCCACTGTGTCTTTTCATTATTTTCCTATCTAAACTGCCGCAGGGGGATGTCGATAGTCCATCGAGTACTAAACGATTCGGTATTGGGGAACAAGAGCCCGAACTAGAATCAGATGAATGAGTGTGTATATGAATATGGTGATGGATATTGTGGCCGTTAATTGTTGTATTTGGTTGAAACGATGAGACTGATGTTAATGATGAGCATGAAGATTGTAAACAACCAGAAGCAATTGAAGATGAAATTGATGATGCGTTTGATGTCGAGGATGAAGATACATGTCCATTAGTAGATGTAGATAATGTTGAAGAAACTAATGAGCTATTGGGTTGACAAAAAAGCTCTTCCAAAGAATCGAAATCAACGGATAGAGTTTTAATTGCTGATTTTTCTTGAGCCATTAAATTCCATAGATTAGATTGATTCGATTGAATCACTTTCTGACAAGGAATTTTCACCCAATTTAATGATCGCATTTTACTCTTGGGCTTTGGGATATCGAAGTTTGTCAACTTGAGGTATTCAGGTTCAGAAGGAGTCGATGCAGATAATAAGGGTGAACAATATGAATTGTTCATTCCAACAGGAAAACAGGGTTGACTTGAAGACATTCTCGATGATGGAGGAGGAGGCGGTGGTGGTGGTGGCGGCGGAGGAGGAGGAGGTGGAGGTGGAGGTGGCGGAGGAAGGGAGGGTTGAAAAGGAGTCGATTCGAGAGACGCTTGTGGTGTGTCATTTGTTTCTGAAACAAGTAAAAGGAAATTGGTGTTAATCAAATGATAAAGAGTCAGTTTAATGTAATTGATATTCACCTTGAATCGGTTCAAATTTAGATTCGGCTGGTGACAATGGCCGACTGCAATTGCGAGAGAATGATTTTTGAGGAGTTGTTGGTGATGCTAAATTGATCGGCGATGATAAAGCGCTTAATCGAGAACCTGAGGTTGGGTCAATCGATCCTCTTCTTTTGGTGTGCCAACGGATCAATTTATCTGCATCATCGCGAGATTCAATCAATGTGGTTGCTCGATGGACTAAAGTTGATGCAGTTTCCCAGATAACTGAAGGAATATCACTAGAACCATAATCGATGGTAAGTAAATGTTGTAATAGATGAAGAAATGGCGTTTCGTATTCAGGCTGCCCTGATACTTGACGGAGAATCGTGAAGAATATGTCCTGATGTGAATTAACATCTAAAGAATCAATGTTATCATCTGATTTCCTCTGTTCTTCAAAAAGATCAATTTGCTTCGATAGTTCATCATTTGTTCCTTCACGACGAATTTCAGAAATTAATTGAAGTAATTTAAGTCCAATGAATTCATTTCTAACGGAAGACCTTTCCTTCCCGTTACCCGCTGATATGATTAAACAATTGATGAAGGCCAATAGTTTGGTCTTATATTCCAAATTCTTAGCATTTTGAAGCTCATCTACGATCACTTCAAATCGATATCGAGTTCGTTTAAGTGCCTATTCGAATAATACAAAAAAAATAAAGAGTCAAAATTCAGATTAACTACAATTTGTCTGATTGAAAAGTTAATTGTTCACAATTTTCCATAGTAAAGTTTGTTAATCTCTTAATTAAACAATTAATGTTCCCTTTCTGTTTCCATCTGATCAGTGGATCAGATGTTAATCCAATTTACCTGAATGTTGATTCAAGTATAATGTCAATCAACTATTACAATTGAATTAATTAAGTTTCTCATTGTTGTCTTGCTTAACTGTTTCGAGTCCAATTCATTTCTATTAATTGATGTTCAATTCGTTGATTCTCAAGAGTAATTTACTCTAAATTGTGATTACCTGATAGTGATTAAGGGTTTGCAGAGCTTTCCAATGTCCATCCTTACTATAAACACAAAGAGCCGATAAAAGGTCAAAAATTTGCTTTTTTATGGTTCGATTGGTGGTGTCAAGAGCTGTGATAATTAAAATAGGAGAAAAATTAATGACAATTAACCTTATTTTAGATAATTGTTTAAATGTGATCTCAGTGGAAATACATTGACAAATATGGTCTCTCTTTTCGGATCAAGGTAATTATTTAATTGTTTCCATCAGAGAGACAACACTCAGAATTAATTTATCTAATTAGTCTCACACTTTCCATTATGCTTATGATTGCATTTAAGGTGTTCACTTTAAGGTAACAAACAAATATTTGTCATCATTGATTATCAATTAATCAGGTAAAAGTGTTGATACTCATTCTGAGAAGACAATTGAATGGAAATCAATTTTACCTGAGGCCAATTTTTCTGCATAATTTGATTCGTCGCCAATGATTTGTTGTATTCCCAACGAAGTGTCCATTATGGTTTTCAAGCAATTGAGAACTTCCAATTGTAAATAAGACCATGCAAACGACGGTAATTGTTGATTGTTATTCACATTTGAAACATTTCGATTCGAGTTTTCTGAAACTTTCAAAAGATTAAAAAGAAGATCAATACCATTGATCGGCGAAGAGATAAACGCGTTGATCAGATCAATAGACAAGGACATTTCGTGACGAAGATTAGCTAAACACTTAGCTAACGAAACCGTGTTATCCTCTGATGGATTAGCCAACAGAGGGATTAAGCTCTCTAGATCAAAAGATTTGATGTGAGGTCGATTTGACGACAATTTATTCAAGTGATGAAATCGATCAGTGGAACTAAATTTAGACGAAACACCGAGAGATGCGATTGACTTTTTTCGAGGCAACCGATTGAGTATCGGTCCTAATGATTTTATGTCATTCCAATCGACAACTGATGCTGCTCGACGATTTTGTCGAGCTGAACGATAATCGTGTTCATCTGATGGACTCAATATTTCATCTGAATCTTCATCATTCTTATTCATTGTTAACTTTTTTTCTATTAAAAAATTTTGTTCACTTAGATTGTTAATTTTCTCAGCTTGATTATCTTGATTAGAATCATTTTCGGAAAAAGATGAAGCCATTTACATGACATTTCAATTCTGTCCCTTGGTCTCAATTATTCACTTCTAAATTGTTGATCTGAAACACTAATTAAAACGTTCAACTGATAAACTCAGTTAAGCACCAACACTTAATTTCTTAATCACCCACAATAAGATTGAAGGCCTTATGTTTGATTAGATCACATCAGAATCATTTGTTCACCAGTTTACTGGATTAGTTAATCAGTTGGATCGATGAGAAGTTATTTCAAAAGGTGAGATGAAGTTATAATTATGGAAAAGGTAAAGTTAATGAGAAACATTCACAATACAATTGAGACTTTATGACAAATTAAACAATCAAGTTAATTGAATAAACTAAATGTAATTTTACCAGAGAAAAATGTTCACATCATTTCCTAATGATGAGAAAGGAGCAGGAAGATGGAGGAAGATGGAGGAGGGAAAGGAGGAGGAAATGATTGAATTAAAACAATTAAACTTATGCTAAGTCAGGTAGTTGACTGAATTGATTAAAATCTTACAATTAAGTCTATTGGAAATCAAACTAAGGTCACAATTGTTAAACGGGAGTTTTAAACAATTTACAAGATCAATTCGACTGCTGATTGTTAACAAAGCCAATTGGATGTAATTGAATGATTGACAATCAAAAATAATCATCGTTGATGTCTAACGAATTCGTTTCACTGTTTATCCATGATGATGATCTTTCTCATTGCAACGATTACGAAGTTTAAAGTTAATCACTTACCTAGTCAGTTAGAAAACACATTGGAAATAATTAAATCACAGATGAATTTTAAATCGCACAATTGAAGCTGAAAATAAGAAGAGTCACTTTAACGATTGGAACTGAAATTGTCCAAATAACTGAATTTATCTTTTTCGATTAGTAATAGAAAATGAGAATCGAAATGAGAGAGAAGGAAAAGATTAAGATGCTAACAAAGGTAGGAGCCTAAATCGATTAACTGAAAAGTTTTGTTTTCTTCCTCCGCTAACCTTCAAAAGATTAAAAAGGAGAAGCGATTCTTTATATGGTCCATCGCGAAAGAAACGAATCGCTTCGAGCTATTAACACTGATTATTCAATTTCAAATAGAACAAAGTTGGTTTCAAACTCGAATTTCAATTCAGTCTTCAACTATTTCGATCATAAATGTATCCACTTTGTTATGAGGAGGGTTCGTGGAAATAGATTCTAATCAAAGTGATAATCAGGATGGAAGTCTGAGTTGATCTAAGAGACATGAATAATTAGACGAAAACCACGAATTCGAAGTATCTCTCAATTCATCCATCGTATTTACGAACAATAAACCATTAATCGAATTTATTAATGGCCGAATGGGTTTACTTCAATTCTTCATATCCGGATAAATGATTCGCGTTTTTAATGCTGACACTTCAACACAGGCCATAGACCAATTAAACACTTTAATCTAGATAATTCTTTGAATTTTTATGATACACTACAATTTAACTTCTCATTGGACATAACCATTTCCTCCTAAACGTTCACGATTAGCTCTGAATTTAACTGGTGGAACCAAAGTGCTTGGAGCATCATCATTGTAGTCATGATGATCTTCCTTCATGAATTGCTTATCGGTGACAAATCTTTTCGGTGTCAATTTTAATCGCACGTCATCAGGTCTGTACACAGTGTACCAACTCCGATATCGTGGCATCACCCGCTGGTTGGTCGCCAAAAGTTTGTCAATGTAAAAGAAATACCCAAAAACGCCAACGAATGCATGACCCAAGCCAATCAAAGCGATCGGATGTCGCTGGTAACATTTCTTCACGCTCACTATTATCTTCAGATGCAAGGGAAGAGCACGAAAATTTGCAGTTGTGATCATGATGACAAAAAGTCCAATTAAACTAATCAATCTTCTAATTGGAAAAATTAACAATTAGAAAATGAGAATTAATTTACTAATTGAAGAAAACCAAAACAAAGGTTAACATTGTTTACTTTTTCTGACTATCGATCATCGTATCGATTTTGATATCGAACATTTTCGCGGAAAATTCAAAAAAATAAACAACTAATTCGATTAATCCAAATACTAATAATTGATGATTAATAAACATAATTTTCTCGCAAAGTTGAGATTTTGGTCCCGTGCAAATTAGAGTTGAAAATCTAGAACTACATTTATTATACTCGTTATTAAAGATATTGATCGATTATCGAAAGATTTATTTTTAGGTCCACAGGCGGCACTTAGGAATAGCTGAGCGAACATATTTTGTGGTAAATTCCTAACCAGGTTCTTATTGATGAGAATAATCAAGAGGTTAGCTGATCATAATTACGTTTCAATGACTTATGGATAATTAATAATTAGTTATGATCTTTTTAATGATAAACCATAACAACATAAATTGACTCCAATTGATTAATCAGCAGTTTGTTTCAATTTCAAGGTCGTTTACTTTCATTTAGTGTCAAATTTCCGATCAGGTGAAATTGGAAATGATCAGAATTCGATCTGAAAAAGTAGAGACTTCGAATAATAAAATCAACAAGATGAAATATTCTTCCGGTTTACTGAGAACAATCATTTACGTTGACATCAATCAAACAGATGAAAATAAGATAATTTTGATCCCATGAAAACACTTGAATAAGTTCATATCTTGAACATGATGATATCGAAAGATAACTTTCAAAGCTTCATTTTAAGTACATGGAAAACTGATAATGCGAATGGTAAACAACATCATGAATTGAGATTCTCTATTTACTCGTTCTTTTTTTTGAACTCGAACCGATTTCGAGAAATGTAGCGTTCTAATTATTCATGAGCAGTTTCGTAAAGTTCACGAGAAAACTTTTGATTTAGTCAGAACACTCAAGTTGAATATTCTTTCAATAGATTTTCAATTCTTTTTTAAATGGACTGTTTCGCTTCTCGTTAATCTCGATATAAAATCCGGTCTATTTGGTTGATAAGTTCTCTGATATCTTCTTGCCTTTCGTTCTAAAAAGTTTAAGGCTCAAATTCAAATGAAATTGAGAAGGGAAAAGCCGATGATCAAGTTTAATTCCATTGGAAGATTAAGATTAACATCGAATGAAACATTTCAAGCCTTTTCTAAGAAATAGAAAAAGTTTTGAGCTTATATGTTGACACTGAGAATTATTGATTGAAAACTTGACCAACCCAAAGTATTTCCTTCATCATCTTGTCAGATTAGTTTCTTATCATTTCATCACTTAACTGCAACTTCTCTCTCTCTCTCTCTCTCTTTCTTTCTTTCTTCATCTTCTCCCGTCTCTTTCTTTTCCTCTTACTTATCTTCTTTTATCTTCTCTCTTTCTTTGTCTCTACCAGATAAAAGCTTCTTTCAAAAGCAGAGCCATTTCATTTCCACCAACACTTTACCTGTGTCAAGTTCCCATCAACGCATCACTTTAGTATTTCTGTTAGAGACCCACCGAAATGTTTCCTCTTTTATTATTCTCATTCATGTTCGTTACCTCTTCCTATGGACACATACTCAAAATGGGAGACTGTCCAGAAGTTGAGGTCATGAGAAACTTTGATATGGATAAAGTAAGTAACCAATTGACTTTACCCAAGACATTTGACCCCACAACCTACTCACCTCTCGATCTTTGAAATGTTCAGTTCCTTGGTAAATGGTTTGTCCTACAAAAATTCCGAACCATGAGCAATTGTATGGCAGAAGATATAACTAAAGATGAACATGGAGCTTATCATGTTGCTGAATATCTCGTCCCATTAGGAATTCAAATGTAAGTATTTAAATGTTGTTTAAATTGCGATTTTAACTCTTTCTCTTCTTCCGTGTAGACATCAAAGGGGTAAAGTTGAATTTTCCAAAAATGATCAAAAGTCTATCATGAGAATCGACTATCCAATAAGTGAGTATTTTCATCATTTAATTAATTTGGATTGACAATTAACCCTTATGGTTTTGATTTTCCGTTTCCCTGATCATCAGCAAGCCCATTAGGAAGCCAAAATTATTGGATTATCGATACTGATTATACTTCTTATGCTGCCGTTTGGTCATGTCAAAAAATCTTATTTGGACATCGACAATCAGCACAAATAATGAGTCGAACTCCTGATTTGCCCAAGGAGAAAATTCGAGAGCTCCGATCGAAATTTGAATCTTATGGAATTAACGAACACGATTTCAGTTTTATCGATCAAAAAAATTGCGATTCCAATGCAAACAAACGAACTGCTGCCAACGAAACTAATTGCGCTTCTTGCATTAACAGTTCTAATTTCGGAATGAAACTTGGTCCAGTTCGAATTTTAACCAAAAGACGGTGATGATATTGGTCGAATTTCCCATAATTCTATTATTAATTGATCTCGATTTGTTTTAATCGCTTGATCATTTTGTACACTGACCGAAGAACTGATTAAAACTAGCAAAAGTCTTCCATTAAAATTGACAGTTAATACAAATGTATTTCTCAAGTTGATTATTTTCATAGAGATTAATTCAAGACAAGATTAAGCCTTCGATTAACAATTCAAGCAAATGAGATTGAATAGAATCAAATTCAAGATATAACATTGGCTATCGATTTGTTCAAAATGATTCTCGTTTGTTTAATTAGTTAAAATGCTTACAATTGTGAGTCGCAATTTAAGTCAGTTTGAACTTGAAGCTGTAATCGTTTAACAATTTACAAGCTAATTAGCAATGAGAATTATTGACCATAAATCTTGTGAATAACGTCTTTTCCAATGAAAGCATAAACTACGGATTTCAATCGATCACGAGTTTCTAACAGATCTACAAAACTTTCGATGTCCCATGTGATTATTTTCGATGACTCAATGGCTGTTATTGAAACTTGGAACTTATCAAACTCTCTAGGAAGTAGATACTTTCCATCATCGCCTTCGGGCACAACAAAACTCGTTTCCTCTTGATTATCTTCATGTTGGAGATTTTCCACTTGATGATGTCTTACACTTTGGTGCAATGAAGATGAAGACGTTTTGTTGAAATAACATGACTGATATTTGAATTCTACAGAATCAACAAACTCATTGGGTTCAATTGTATGGATCAAGATTCTGTTGAATGTAACCTGAAGACTTCCAGTCAAAAGAATTGAGATACTTTGACCGATTCTTGTTGAGCCTTCACTTGAATATCTATGATTAGCAGGCAAGTATTTGATTGTTCCCAATTTCACCAAGTCTAGAAAATCTCTCGGTGCAACACCCAAAGGCTGGAATACGGATGAAAAAAGTTCAACGAGATGCTGAGGAATTTTATTGAAAAATCTTTGGACAAACATGTAGATCAACTGGACACCGTTGATGAGCAGAAAAAGCGAATACCAATTAATTATTGAGTCTAAACCATAGATCCATTCATCATTTGATCGATAATTTATCCAAATCAAACCAATGGCATAGCCGAAAATGACCAAAAATTTGTTCGAATATTTTGTTATATTGAAATTCGCGGGAATTGAAAAAGCCAATAAAATGATCGTTTGGAAAACAGAAAAAAGCGGTTCATTTGAACCGAACCAGTTCTTACATTCTCTTGGAGATATCGAATATGTTGCAGATCTCTGAGGAATAATTAATGAAGCTAATTAGCGACATGGAATAAATAATCGCTCATAAAGCCATAAGGTCATTTTGTCGGATCAATTAAAACAAGAAAAGCAAAATGAAACAATTTACCTTAAATGTGAAATCATTTGTTGTGTTCATTTTCATTTGGAATGACAAAACTATCCTTTCATGGTCCTTTCATAATTCATGATATTCTGAATGAATAAAGTTAACAATGATGAAACATTTGAGAGGAGGATAAGTTGATGTCCATTTATATGCCATTGGATAGATTAATATTCAATGGACAAGGTGAGGAGGATCAACAACCATTTAACATAAATAGGATGATGATAAAAGTGATGATGAAGATGAAGTTTTATCATGTGAATTTGATGCTGCGCAACATATATTGTTTACTCAGCCAGAATATTGATTGAATGAAAATTTGATGTTCATCATATGATTTGCTTTGCTTTTGTCCATCAATTGGTCACTTGGGAGTAAATTGAGTCAGAAAATGACACTTTCATTGTGATCAAATTATATTGAGTTACTTTTACTCTTTAGTTGATAAAGTTTCAAAAATTATAGATCATTAACTATCATTAAATTGGTCAGTTGATTCTGAGATTATTATTTTCATGCAGCAACTCAATTGAATTTAATTGGAGTTAATGTTGAGTTAACTACTCTTATTAAATTTTATCCCGATAATTGTTCATTTTAATCTGGTAGATTTAAAGATTGGAGATGAGATAAGATGAGAATAAAAAGAAAACACCAATTAAGGCTTAGATTTACGTGTAATGTGAGAGGGCATCGAACATGAACATTTCCACTGAATTAATGGTGTAAAAGAATCAAGTTATCGCATTTCAATCCATTGAATCAACCAAATTGTCCATCATGAATATTATTGACTTTTACCAGAATAAAAATGAACAGATGAAAATTGATCTGGAACTGGTGAATCTCGTTGTTTCATCTTCGCAATCGTCATCATCTTTTGTCAAGTTAAATCAACTTTTAACTCTCTCTCTCTCTTTGAATATCATCACAATTATCTTGTCAGCCTCTTTCTTCATCTCAATTCTATGGTTCATTTAACATTGATGTTCTTTCCTATTGAACAGAATCCAATCATCTTAACCTATCATCATGTCAGATCTCAGGTAATAAGCGCAGAAATAGAAAAAGATTCATTTATGTAAACAAGAATTTGACCAGTTGACCATTAGATTGACCATTAAAGTTATAATTCTTTTGTTGATATTTGTCTTTTCTAAAATTGATTAACATTTCCTCATCAAATTGTCACTTATAAAATCATTTTTCAATCAACAAATGAAAACTTTCAATCATCGATCAATGCGATCAATGATTGACCCTCCATTAGATATTAAGTACAGTCGGTTCACTTAATTTAGGTGTTCATTTAGCTTAAGAATTACAGATTAATGATTAGGCAGTAGAAAAGTTTGTTAGTCGATAGTTGATCAGTTATTGAAATGGTGAAATCTGAACAATTAAACTTGAGAAACTCAAGTCAATTGAATAGATTGTATATTCCTAGATGGCAGTGGCATCGAGCGACAATCAATTTGATTATCAGATTATAATGTGATTAGTCGGGGGAATATTTAAAATGGATAATATCCTGCTCATCTCTTATTACCAAGATGAATTCACAATAATGATATGGTGTCTCTGTAACATTATAATGATCAGAAGAAAGGAAAAGGTGTGGTAAATATAATATGACATCTCCATGTTTCTCTCGAGAGTGAGAGATCCTTTTATTGGCTCGTGTCATTGATACCCTATTATCAAATATAATTGAATGTCGCGTGCATCAGATTATCTTATTTCCTTTCTTTATCTTTCCAGTCACAATCACATTTATCACAAGTCAAGTTATTGAACCAGCGAAAGAGTCAAATCATAACAACGATTCAATTTCCATCGTGTTGACGGACAATCAATGAACACCCAATCGCCTCGACGCGTTTCAAACAACAAAAAACTAACCGACATTTCCAATGATTCCCTATGAAAATGAGATGGAATATTCATGAAATAGCATGAAAAGATTAGCTTTCTTCTTATTGTCTGAAAATCATTAAATAGAAATCAAATCGCTGTGAAAATGAGATTAACATGATTTCCTTTTGGATCAATGGGAAGAAACCAGAAAATATCGGACTTATTTGGCGATTCAATGAGTTGATGAACATCAAGTTATGCATCATTAGAATCAAGATTATCATGTTTCATGGGTTTCACACTTTAAATTGATCAACATCAAAAAACGATGACAATCATCAGGATGTTTCTTAAATATCTTTCAAATCTTCCTCTTCCTCCCACTTTACATCAGTCCTCCTTTCAACTGTCATCACCATTGGTGTTCAATTGTAATAGTCGAAAGTGTGAAATTTAGATGTGATTGATTATCATCATAAATGTACATTGATTGTTATGATGAACATGTAATCTTTTGTTTCATGATAATCATTTCCAACTTCAATCAAACTGATAATACTCTCATCAAATTATACATTTAAAGTTTTACAATTCACTTTTCCTCTGATATCCCAAAGTAACCAAAGTATAATCATCATCATCATCTTCATCTTCATCTTCATCATGATAATCTTGATAGTTACTATTAACATGTTAAACAAAAATTACATCAATTGACATTTAAAGTGTTGATCGTTGTAGTTAAATTTGATTGTGAAAATAGTGATGAAAAACTTAAATTGCAATGTAAAGAACCAGTAAATAACAATTACAATCAACTTAAAGTTGACAAAAAGACATTAAATGATAATGGTAACGAGTTGAGTTCACTAATAACAATAATAATAATAATGAGCGAAAGATAATTGAAAAAAAAATGTAACAATTATTAATAGAACATTGAATCTAATGATAAACGTTGTTTGTTGATTGCTGCTTTTTTTGTTGACTTAACCACTTATGTATTAATATATACATTTCATTGATTAGCTTAACAGGGAAGATAAAGAGGATGAAGATGAAGATGAGGAAATGATGATGATGCGGATGAAGATGAAGATAAAGACGAAGATAATACACAACTGATTTAACCCAATCAATGATATTATATCCATGTTGATGGTAAAGTAAACATTGGATTCAGTTTAATTTCCCTTGAGATTATCAAAAGAATCTCTTTTTTGTTGTTGTTGTATTCTCAGATGATGATAATGATAAAAAACCTCGATTCTGATAGAGGAAGATGCTGATAATAATAATGACGATGATAATTCTGTTGATTATCATCTAACCACACAGATAATATGATATATTTATCATTAGATTGTTAATGTTTGTCATTAGATAACAAAGCCAAACATCAGTAATCATTTACAATAATATGATATATCTGATTGTCCAATTCAATTGAGCTCAATTGAATGATCATGATACCTGAATTCTAGTGACAATCAAATTATCAGATTATTACAAAGTAATTTTTTTCACTAACTAAATGTAATCATTTACAATTAAATGGATGAACCAATTTAACTCACGAATCAAAATAAATTAAAGTTTATCAACATAAAAAAAACTCCAAAAAAAAAGTGAAACCATTATATTTATTATTCATCTAGAACTTTATATATATAAAAAAAGTTCATTGTTTAGTTGATTTGATTCGTGAATAGAATTGAATTATTAATTTTTTTGTTCATTGGTTATTCAGTTTAAAGTAATTTAATGATTGAGTTGAAACTCAGGTTAATTTATCATAACTAAACAATGTAAATATAGATTTTAATCATAGTTGATTAAATTGTTTCCAGATATTTATTCAGTAAATTGAATTGTATTTATCTGGAAACAATTGAAATTTATCAAATCGGTTCACTTTCTAATCATTGATTGAGTTAATCTATTTTCATATTATCAAATTTGATCAACTGGGATTGAAATGATTCCCTTGAAACTTCATTAATCCACAACGATTTCTAATTCTGATGATTTATTTGTTTATCAATCATGAATTAGAAATTATTATTACATCTTAAGCATTTGGATGCTCTCGATTTTTATTTTTTTTCTCTAACCAAATTTGATGAATAATATAAGAGTAACATGGGAATGGAAAATATTCTTATTTGGTTATTTTGATTGAGATAATTTGCGAAATTTTCTTATTTGTTATTTATAGGATTTCCATATGATATTAACGCTCTTAATTTTCTAGATTATTATTAGATTATTACAGTTATCAGAGTAACAAATTATCTCTGTTAACCTTAAGTAACAGTTGATTCTAATAAATATAATAAACATGAAATAATAGCAACAGTTAATTGTGATTACTGTTCCTGTTTTCATCAAAATTCACTTGAGATTTTGCTCTCATGTATATAACAAGATAATGATGAGAATTGCTGTTGTTGTTTATAAAAATGCTCATGAAATCCCATTGGTTTAGCTACTCGATTAACATTAAGGTAAATATTATGTTGAGTATAAATATTAGATTGTCAGATCGTAGGATAGTTATGATTAACCAATAAATCTCAATTTAAGCTTTAACTTAACACCAGATTGACTCTGTAAATCTTATCATCATCATCAACATCATCATTATCATCATGTTATCCTCATCCATGATCAACCCACTTTTCCTTGGTTCCCTTAGTTGCTCCTCATTCAAAATTAAAATTAACTGTGAGGGTAAATGGTATTAAGTTGATCATTAAATGTGATAACATTAATTATTAACATTCTATCATTTCCATTTTCAGTATTCTCTCAGTGTAATATTAGTTAAGACCTACAATTGCTTCTGTATTTGTAATATACTCAAGAGAGAGATTGTGGTTATCCTATAACCGCATCAATTTAATAATTAATTCATAATCTAAATCAATAATTCATCAAATATGATAACAACAATATCCTTGATTAGTGCGAATAGAAACAAATCAAAGTGATCATTTCACTTTTGTCTTCATTTGTTGATCAAAATTTCATTTCGTTTCATTGTTAATAAGTTTAAGAAATTCAATTGACTGTTTACATTAATTGTTTTAAATTTAATTCAATTTCATCTATTGATCAACCCAATCGCATTCAACATTTTCATGTATGTTAACCGTAATTTAAATTACATTTAATCGATTGATGAGCAAAATTCAGTTCGAAACCTTTAACCTTTGTTGCCCTTTTATCAAGCGCTTATTTCCAATTACGAATCAATATTTTACCTTATTTATGTTAAATTGACACAAAAAGATAATGTTACTAAAAGATATCGAGAATTAACTTGGAGTTTTAACTCCCACTTGGCTGTAGAAAAGAACAAATATAAATAGAATAAAAAATAGAATAAAAGTATGAGAGAAGAGAGAATTTTGGAAAAAAAAGAAAATCAGATCAACAAGATGTTCTCTTTCTTTGTTATTATTTCTATTAAGATAAATTCTCTTTCCTATTTCTTTCTGGTTCCTTGGTTATCATGGAAATTCAATAGATTGAAATAAATAGAGTCTAAGAATATGTTTGAATGTATTTGTTTAAATAAGAATCGATTACAAGAGTAAATAGTAAATCAAATGTTTACCATTGGATAGAAACAAACAATGTTTCGGCAAATTGGAAACTAATCACGAATCGATTCCATGTTATCATGAAATTTATCTTCTTCATCTTCATTTTCATTTTAATAATTTCAGAGTATCACCAGAGTGAATCATTTAATGAAAAAATTCACCATGAAAAGAGAAACGTTTTTCTGTAAATTAATTAAATTGTTTACAGATTGAATAAGTTGTGCATCGAGTGTGATAAAAGGCTTACACTTAAAAAGTTGTGATTAAATCATCTTATCATATTCATTGGAATTAAATTAATGAATGAAAACATGAGACTTATTATAATTGTCAAAGATTGGGAGACTATGGGAATCAACAGAATGAACAATTTAATAGATTATTATTTTTTTCTTCTCGATAATCATTATCATTGAAAAGATTGTGATCCATAATATGATAACATGGGATTAAGTTAATCTCAAATTGGACAATTATTTTATAACCTGAAGGCAATTTAATTCTCATTGTTGTTGAGTATTAATGATTTAATCTGCGATTCTTTTTTTTTCCTTGAGATTTAATTTCTCTGCTTGTTATCTTAATATTGCCAGAGATTCACAATCCCATTTAAATGGACAATTATTTCATCTCAAATTCTGGCATTTTGTTTGGTTCATTTATTGAATAACAGATTAGATTTACGTTGATTGTTGTTGTTAAG